CCAGTCCTTTTATTATTTTTTTTTTTTTTAGGTGTTTAGTACATGGTCTATAGGGTCTCACTGTACAGATTGGATTCGGTAGTGATCCTTCCTGTTTTTCAGCCTCCAAAGCACTGGGATTACAGGTGCATGCCACCACGCCGAGTCTCAGACACCATCTTGGGGGACACAGCAGGTGCTTTAATCCACTGAGCTATCTGGCTGGGCCTCATTTATTAATTTTTTTGAGGTAGGGTGCCAGCTTCCCATAGGCTGACTTCAAACATGGGGGGTTGGTCTTTCTGTCTCAACCTTCCAGATTGCTGAGATTAAAATACGTGCCAGGGGGCTGGTGAGATGGCTCAGTGGTCTAAAGCACCTACTAAGAACAAGCTTAGCAAAGCACAGGGACTGCGGTTCAATCCCCCAGCACCACATGCCAGCCAGCCCTGCCCCCTGGTGGGCTGAGCTGGCCACACACACACATAAATAAATAAATTTAAATAAATAAATTTAAATAAATAAATAAATAAATAAATAAAATACGTGCCAGTATTCAGATTTTGAAGTACAGCACACTCAGCCTCTGAGTAACTGGAGTCAAGGCCATAATAAAGTTACATGAGGTTGCACTGGGGAGCTAGCTCATTAGTCTAAGCGCCAGCCTGGCAAGAGCAAGGTCTTGGGTTCAATCCCTAGTACTATGCTGTGCTGGCCCAGAACCCCCAGCCCCCGAAACTGGGTGTGGTGGCACACACCTGTAATCCCAGTGCTGGGGAGGCTGAAACAGGAGGATCACTATAAGTCTGAGCTGCGTAGTGAGACCCAGCTGTGCTGTTTGAAACAAATGATGGAAAAAAGTTGCATGACATTGTGTCTCCAAGCTGAAGACAAACCAGTGTCATGACTTCGGTCCCCCTCCCCCGTGCTAAATGTTACCACCACTTTCCCTGAAAAAGTGATCTATTCCTCAAGAAGTTACACATTAGAATGAACTACAAACATCCAGCAGGTAAAATTCTACTTAATAGCAGCATACTCCATAGCATAGCCATTAGTTGTGGAGAATTTAGCGAAAGCAAAGCTGTGCTAGTTGACAGGGCTTTGCTAACATTTGACAATCTGTGCTTGTGTCAATTAAACAGTATTGGGAACTAGTTTTGGAAATAGACTTTTAGGGTCAGTACCATTTCTCTTAGGTATAGCTCCTAATAAAACAGGCTCACAGAAGGAAAATGTAGATGCTTAAAGGTGGAGCTAGCAAGGAAAAAAAAGAGGTGTTTGTTTTATAATTCTGTTTCATAATTTAAATTGCATGGTAGAGGACACGCTTTACCGGAATGGTGGTGAAGATGACATTTGTTTATATCTTGATTGGTTCTAAAAAGTGTTCCTGGACAAGCAGGGTGGCACATACCTGTAATCCCAGCACTTGGGAGGCTGAGGTAGGAGAGCTGCTACAAGTTCGAAGCCAGCTTGAATTACAGAGCAGTACCCTGTCTCAATTAAGTATTTCTGGCAGACAAGAGAAAGTTGATATGTTTTAGATGTTCTTTTTCTCTTTTCTGTGCTTTTCTTTTTCTTTTTCTTTTTTTTTTTTTTTTTCTTTTCATGTATTTAGTACAGGGTCTCACACAGATTGGACTCCTAGTGATCTTCATATTTTTTAGCCTCCCAAGCGCGGGGATTACAGGTGTGTGCCACCACACCTAGTCTCAGTCCTGTGTTAGCACACCTGGGGACAGGGTTAGCACGGCATGCTGGGGATTGAGCCCCGGTCCCTACGTCTGCCTAAGCAGGCGCTTTAATCCTCTGAGGTATCTGGCTACACTTAGGCCACTGAGCTACCTCCCCAGCCCTTCAGTTGGTTTTGAGACCTGTCTCATTCTATTGTCCAGGCCAGCCTTGAACTTGCTATGAGGGTGGCCTCAAAGGTGGCATCCTCCTGCCTCAGCCCTCACAAACTTAAGGATTACAAGTGCACACTTCCATGCCAGCAACTCAAACTATTCTTAATCTATTCTTGAACTGAAATGTTTTTCCTATGTCAGTCTCACAGTAATTGAGACTACATGCTGTACCTGGCAGATCTTTTTTTAATATAAACAGTAATGATTATTAAAGTACTAATTTTTGGGGGAGAGAAACAGGGGATTGAACTCAGGCACACTTACTCTACTGAGCTATCTCTCTAGCCCCTAAAGTACTAATTTTATGTTATTACATGCATCTATATAAAGAATTATATAGACAGTATGGTTCTTGCAGTCCCAACTACTTGGGCAGCTGAAGCTGGAGAATCACAAATTCTAGGCTTGCATGGGAGTCTTAGACCCTGCTTCAAGGATGTGGCTCAGAGGTACAATGCTTAATCCTCGTACTGTAGGGAGAAATAAAGAATTGTATATAGCTCTCATCAGTTATGTATCTACAATTGGTCTCCATCTACCCCTTCTCAGAAACATTCAGAAATTAACTTCTCATTGGATAGTAACCAGTGTTTTCTGGCATTTAATAGATACTCAATGAACACAAGGCTATGTAAAACTTTTGGGGGTAATCTAACTGGAAAGAAATACTATAAGCAGATGGATATTTTTTATTTTTTATAATTTATTTTGAAGAGTAAAAACAAGAGCAAGAGCAAAAATCAAACAGACAGAAATGATAACATACAACAATACATGTTACAGATTTTCAAAATAAGAATAGCTGATTAACAATGATATATTATCTATTTTTATCAAATCTGTTGCTCAGATTACAGATACAGTTATGTAAGATTGGACATATGATTGAATATTATTGCTTGCTTTCAAGAAATCTCAAGTTTTTGTTCTTCTTTTTTTTAATTTTAACATTGTGTGTGTGTGTGTGTGTGTGTGTG